GAGAGAGAGAGAGAGAGAGAGAGAGAGAGAGAGAGAGAGAGAGAGAGAGAGAGAGAGAGAGAGAGAGAGAGAGAGAGAGAGAGAGAGAGAGCGACGGAGGGTACAGGGGGAATTTTTTTTGGGCGCATTTGCCCTTTTTTTTTTTCGCAGAATGTTGTATGTTCTTTTGTGTTCTTTTAGTTTTTGTCTTTTCCCGTGATTTGCTACCGGTTGTCTGAGGCTCGGCAATAAAGTCCGAGGCTCGAGAATGATCGTGATACCGGTAGTCCAAGCCTCGGACTTGATAGGTGGGCGAGGTACTGGTGAGCACCAGCTGGAACCCCCCCCACACACTCTTTGAGTTGTGTACAGCGAACATAGCAAACACATACGCACACCATAATCACTACCTCACCCTTCCCCAACAGCATCAACAAAAACATACGCACACCATAATCACTACCTCACCCTTCCCCAAAGGGACTACAGGCTGCGCACCTGTGCCCTCACAGTAAGGCTGCGCACACAGTAAGTCAATTTGGGATTGTAGGTCCCAGTGTGAGTATACCCTCAGTTGGTTGGCACCGATCGTGCCACAGGCAGTCGTGGGGGTTGAACCCACGACCTCCTAAGGCCACTTGCGTGCCTAACCAATTGAGGTAGGCCGCTGGATTACGTGTCGTTTTGGGTGGGTGCATGATGTGCTCTATGATGCGCTCTAGGCTAACGAAAAATATAAATCCGACGATGCGATCAAACTGAATTGTTCCGTCCTCTTCGCGTAGCCGGCGCAACGGGCTCTGTGCGGACAGACCTGGCTGGGGCAGTTACCGCAAGATCGCTTTTTGGGCAGTTGTGACTCAACGGCAGAAAAGCAGGCAGGCGCGGTGGAAGGGCATGCTGGCCTGCCCCTCTCCGCACCGGGCTTGGGTCCGTCCTTGCTCCACTCTCGGTAGTGGGTGGATCGCAATCTATCGGTTTGTCCGCTCGTTCGCCCAGTGTTTGGACCATCCTGCCACCCCTTGCGTGGAAGGGAGATTACCATATCCTTCTTCAGGGGGGGGGCGGGTGGTTGCCGGCTCGTTACGGCTCTCTCCTTCGGAAGGAGGGAGGGGAGCGTGGCGATATCCGTTTTCATATTCGTACGGTCTCGCAGGCTCTCTGTCTAGCTCAGGAAGGGCGGTAGAGGCGGGCATGTCGGTGGCCAGGGCCTCAAGAAGTTGTGTGCCCTCCCTCTCTCTCGTTCCGTGGCGTCTCTCTCGCTCCCACCCTCTGCTACCGATAGACGACGTCGAGACCGATGATCAGGCGAGGGACCATCGTCCCGCGTCAGGGCGGGTCAATCTCGTCCCTCGGCACCGATGAAAGCGGCACACAGCAGCTCTAGGGTCAATTAAGCTCTCTCCTATGGTGGTAGTTGGGGGGCGAAAACAGCCCCTCCTAAAGTTGGCGCGTCCAGTCTCGGACGCAGGAAAGCGGCGAGAGAAAGAGGAAGGCGCTTATTGACCTGTCTCTTATACACATCTAGATGTGTATAAGAGACAGGAGAGAGAGAGAGAGAGAGAGAGAGAGAGAGAGAGAGAGAGAGAGAGAGAGGGCGTCAGAGAGTCTGACGCTGAGTTTGGTGCGTCGAACTCGGCGTCTGACTTTGCGCATCTCACCCCCCCCCCCCAACTCTCGAAATGTGCAACATGAAAATGAACATCGCGCTATAACATGGGTAGATGCGCCCCCAAAAAAATCCCCCTATAGCCTCCGTCGCTACGTCCTCTCTCTCTCTCTCTCTCTCTCTCTCTCTCTCTCTCTCTCTCTCTCTCTCTCTCTCTCTCTCTCTCTCTCTCTCTCAACGCCCAAGCGAGAATGAATCTTCCGCGGTAGACATTTAGATAGATAGATGGAGATGGAGATAGAGATAGAGATAGAGATCTATCTATCTATCTATCTATCTATCTATCTATCTATCTATCTAAACGTCTACCGCGGAAGATTCATTCTCGTTTGGGCGATAGATAGAGATAGAGATAGAGATAGAGATAGATAGATAGATAGATAGATAGATAGACAGATATATATACATATATATATATATATATATAGATAGATAGATAGATAGATAGAGAGAGAGAGAGAGAGAGAGAGAGAGAGAGAGAGAGAGAGAGAGAGAGAGAG